AAATAAAACAATATAACTGAGGTCCTCATGGAATGATGTACTCTAGAGTAAAGTTATTAACGAAACAAACCGTCTTGTGAGCTCATCTCGGCTTGTTTTGACTCAATCTTGGTTGTAAATGAGCAGCGCTAGAACTCGTTTACAACTAGTGTAGTTAAAAATGTTCGAATATAAAATTTATATGTAATTTTATTATACATCGACTTTTTATGTTTGAATGAATTTAACTTGGTAAGCCTCTAGGTGAGCTGTAGCAAGTTTATTAGCTCATTTAGTTAACTTTAATTTATGAACTGTGTTAAACTCGGTTTTTTTTTTTTTNNNTTTTTTTTTTTTTTTGTTGTTGTTTTGTTTTGTTTTGAATATTTTTTTGTGTTTCTCTTACCACTGTTTCTCTTGAGTTTCATCTCTAGCCTACCCCAATTTGTTTGAGACTAAAAGTCTTTGTTGTTGTTGTTGTTGTTGTTAAACTCGGTTTGCTTGAAGGCTTGAGCCCAAACTCGCTTATAGGAGTCTTGAGTTCAAATCATAGGGAAATACTATGGTACCGTTACGGAAACATCTCGTCGACTATTTTAACCATTCGATCACCTATTTTATACTAAATACATATGTATCCAATGATTAAAACTTTGAACGAGATGTTCCGTAATTGGACCGTATCATTTCCTCAAATCGTATACAGCCTACTCTCAAGATGAAACACAAATTAATAAAAATCAAGGGGTGGTTGAGCCAAATTAAAGGGTTATTAAACGTAGAAAAAAAATCGTTTTTCTCCTTCAGCCTCAAATTCCCTCAACCCTAGTCGCCCAATCCGTGCAGTGTCGTCGCCCCCTTAACGGCGGTCTGGAGCCGTCGGCCGACGGCCTCCACCGCTCACTCAAGACGGACCTGCGCTTGTCCCCTTTCGTTCCAGATTCATTGGATTGACGTTAGGGCTCTTCGTCAATCGACTGTGTTTGGAGGCGGTTGCGGTGGGTCGAGTCGCAGTGGCCGCGCTTGGTTGTGGCTTGGTCCGTCGAGGTGTCCCGGGCTGAGTTGCTGTC